GTAACAATGATAGATAGGAACACCGGTTGGCCTGAAGCCATTCCTGTAAAGGATATAACCGCCCAAACTATAGCGGATATTATTTACACCGGATGGATTGCGAGATTTGGAACCCCTTTATACTTGACAACTGATCAAGGATCTAACTTTTTGTCTAATTTGTTTTTCCAATTAACTAGAAGAATGGGTATTAATAAGATTAGAACCACTGCTTATCACCCGCAATCTAATGGTCTTGTGGAAAGATGGCATCGCTCGCTTAAAACCGCACTTATGTGCCGAGGAAACACGGAACATTGGGTATCAGAATTACCATCTGTTCTTCTGGGATTAAGAGCTAGTATGAGAGACGACACGCAGATTAGTGCGGCGGAGATGGTGTTTGGAGAACCTTTAAGGTTGCCTGGGGATTTCTTCGAGCCTATAAAGCGGGAAACTTCTGACAACAATTTATTTTTGCAAGAATTACGTAGTAAGATATCAAATTTAGTAGCAGTGCCCAAAAAGGCGAACCATCAAGGAAAAATATTCGTCCATCCCGATCTTAAAGACTGCACTCATGTATTTGTTCGTGTTGATAAGGTCACAAAACCTTTAACACAACCCTACATGGGGCCGTTCAAAATTATCAGCAAAACGGAAAAAAAATTATAAAATTATGCAACAGGATACGGAGAAAATAGTTAGTATAGATCGATTGAAGCCAGCCTTTGCACTTAACAACAGCGAGACATGCTCGAAGATACCGAATATGGCAAGTTATAATGTAAACAATGAGCCGAGAGTGTCGAGTTTCGGCCGAACTATCAAAACTGTCGTGCGCTTCGCCACATAAACACTTAATATATTAAATATCATCATTTATTGTCGAGAACAATGCGTGTGATTATATAGTGGGAGTGATTATATAGTGTTGTGACGTGTCTAAATAAGTGCTGATAATGACATTAATAAACAATTGCATGAACTTGGACAGTGTTGATACAATGTGTAATCGGAATATTAGACGTATTTTAAACTTATGTGTAACTAAATTAAAAAATAACACTTATATTTTTAAGTTATGTTTGTAACCAATTTTTTTTATTAGGGGGATGTACTGTGCCTACGGCACTTCAGTATTGTATTGACGGCTATATTAAACAGACGTGTCATTGTATATTGAGAGTTTTATTACAATACTCGACACCAAATAAAGACTATACATACAAAACAGTACAGTGGTGACCCCGATAACTAATACACCTACGCCTTCAGTATAAAGTTCGTGCATATATTTTTTTTCTGAAAAAATGACAACGGGTCAGCAACCATCGAGCGAAGGGGAGGTAGCGGTTGTTACAGTGTCTTCTAGAATTCCCGAGTTTTGGTGCGACCAACCACGCCTTTGGTATGTGCAGTGTGAAGCCATACTGGGACCACAGAAGCTCAGCGACGAGGCCAGATATAATTTAGTTGTCACGAAATTAGGTAAAGACGTAGTGCAGCAGGTCAGTGACATTCTTCTCAAGCCGCCCGATGTTAAGAAGTTTGACACGCTTAAAGAGCGCTTATTAAAAATCTATGAAGAGTCGGAAATCAGACAATTTCAAGAAGCCATCTCAACTCCTGCGTCGGATGAGGGACTTGGCTCGCGACAAAATACCCGATGACACTCTACGCATTATGTGGCAGGGACACCTGCCTTCTACGGTGCGAGGAGTGTTGGCGGTCAGTGAAGTGAATCATTTAGAACATTTATCGGCTATTGCGGATAAAGTCATGGAGACCACGCAACCATTGCAAGTGGCAGAAGTACAGGCCACGTCCAGCAGTTCTAGTGCCGATCATAGCTTTATTTTAGCGGAAATAGCTAAGCTGAGCCTAAAAATAAGAGAAATGGAACAGGACCGGAATCATAATCGTAATTTCAATCGATCTCATTCACGGTCACGCTCAGCATCGCGAGGACGTAATATGACACGGCGTTCACCGAGCAGCCCGGACTGGCTTTGCTCTTATCATTATAGATTTAGGCATAGAGCGAAGAAATGTATAGACCCACCCGTGCGCCTGGAAAAAAACAAAAAAATCCGGAAAACTAAATGTGGTGTACTCGCAGGCGGAGATATGCACCATTACTCCTATACACCGCCTATGTGTTACAGATAAAAATAGTGGTTTAAAATTTTTAGTAGATACAGGTGCAAATATATCGGTACTACCATTTATCAAAAATAAGTTCTATAGTGGAAAATGTGAAGACTATAAACTTTACGCAGCTAATGGTACAGAAATAAAAACTTATGGTGTAAAAACGTTGAACTTAGATTTAAAGCTACGTAGACCCTACAGTTGGACATTCGTTGTGGCAGAGGTCAAGCAACCTATACTCGGAGCTGACTTCTTGTCTCATTACACCTTATTAGTGGACGTTAAAAACAGAAAACTAATAGATTCACTGACTAGTCTACAGACTATTGCGTCTGTGGTTATGCAAGAAGAGCCTACAGTAAGGACAATCGACTACAAAAGTGATTATAGTGATATTTTGGCAGAAGTTTCCCAGTAAATAACAGTGTAGATCGTGTCCAATGGAGGCACCAATGTTGCGTAATTATTGTGGGATCGTCGTCTCTCGTGGACAATATATTCGATATGCAGAGTCAGTGACCGAACGTGTGATTTTTATGCCTAATAATAATATTCCTAAAACGCGAGAACGTCTATGGTTTATGCTTGGAAGGCGTGAGACCATACTAATATGTGTGGATAATGGAAAATTTAATTACGAGGAATTTGAAAAGGCGGGATTGCTATATCGAATTCCAGCTGATGTTGGCTTTCAGAGTACGGATGCTTTTTCGGATTATGTATATCATTTGATCTATAGCTCCAGGGAAAGGATTAGATTATGTAACAGAATAAGGGACGTATTAACAACTACGCAACGTTCCTACCGTTGGTGCGGATCCGAAAATGAATCGCTTACTAATGAGAGCGTGATAAAACACGCTACTGAGATTAATGGTGGCACAATATTACATCAACACATTAAACTTGATGGTTCTCTATGCGGAGATTTAATACGGTATAGAGAACAACCGCTTCTTTCGAAACTACGCACAGATTTATTGGAAATTGAGTCATTAGGGCAGAAGAAGTTGTACTCTTGCATGGCCGGCTTTGCCTCCCCTCATGTACCAATCGTCTATGTAGGGAGCTCGCCGGGTGATGGATGGATCAAAGCCTTGAATCTTATTGGGTATAGCAGCATTGTAGTATCTATCGATCCAAGGCCGCTGTCCTCTGTGGAAACGCCCTCCTTTGAAGTAAAACATTTATCTATGGTGATACATGGTGCTGATGATTTCGCGAAAGCGGTATCTGATTTAACTTATTTTGATTTCGTGTGGGATGTCCGGGGTGACGCTACCAGCCACGACTTCGATGACAGGATGGAACAGATTCGGAACGAAATCGCAATTCTCAATGATATAATGACGAATCCTGACATGCAGCACAAAATAAAGCGGTTCCAACTTAAAATCAATACTCGCAACCTGTACGAGTATTTGCTCCCTCAAGACACGCGACTGTATATGCAACCCTACTGCGCCTTTCGCGAAATCTTCGAGATACGCGCTGTGGGAGCCTTACACGGACATACGCACTTGACTCATGTGACGCCCGATACTACCGAGCGCATTTTAGAAACAGTAAGAACATCGAGCATTCATATTCCAGATCTGGATTTAGTCGCAAATTGTTTAGGCATGCGGCTGTCATACGGTGATTTCATTTCTTCCGACCCTTTATATAACACTATTCTCGATATAGCGTTATTTTGCATAAACTGGAACACGCCTTCAGCGGTTACAGCGTATCTTGATAAGATTCAGACCCAAAATAGATTATTGATCTGCAGCTTCTTTACGGGAAGGACCCTTAAAGAAGGTGAGTACGAATTTCCAGAAGAGCGTGTAATAGATAAGGACGACTTCTTTGTTTTTGATTCACGACTCTTTATACCTGCCAAGCTCGACTGCTTATATTTTCTAATGCCTAGGACGTGTCACAGTCAGTGGTTACATGAATCAAACAAGAGGTATAGACAGAGACTGCTTTATTCCGTTCTCCATATCGGTCGCCTCCAATCATCATTCTTGCCTACCCACATTATAAATATATATTATGACATCTTCCTTCTCAAAAAAAAAACTTAAATTATTACATATTAAAATTAACATAATGATAAGTATGATAATTTATTGATATCTGATACATGAAGCTAAAATATTACCAGAATATTTTAGTATGTATTCGAAATGCAATTGAAAACAATTATTCACAATATAACTAGGACTAAGGCAATGATAAACAATTTAGAAAATTATAACGTAGATTCAAGAATTACAATTAATCACAAAAAATCATAGAATATTTTGATCACCATTCAATATAATACAACATTTATTGCCCACAAAACCGAGAATTACCATTACAATACATTAATAAATACCTGAATTTTTATTTATTAGATTAAATAGCTAATAAATAGAAATTTGTTAGGTTACATACATACTATTTTAAGAGCAGAGGTACTTTAAATTCTTACTTAAGTACATTTTGTACATTTACATACAAAATTGTTGTTGTTCACACTCACAACACTTGTGAACATAATTTATATTTTTTTAATAAATTAATTCTTAGATAAAGAATTAATTTATTAACTTTTCATATTTTTGATTAATTATAAATAATTTAATAATTATTTATTAATTTATGAACATTTATTTTGTTATTATCTATCTATGAACTTTCCATAAAACAATGTGAAACTTGGAACATTGTTTTATATAATTAATTTAAATTAATAGTAAAATATAAAGATTAAATAAATATTATATTATCATCAAGATTGTTACAATCTATTAAGGTAACATGCAGTATTTTTGTAATAAATAAAAACAAAAAGAAAACTTTAATTCCTTTATGGTATCAGTTCACTTCTGTGGTTATGTATAGCCCCATCTATTCGGAGGTCTCACCGTCCTGCCAGAACGAGTAACATATAAGTCAGATGATGTACAGGTATTATTAACATTAGTATATTGACATGGATACATAATATGATCGTAATCAAAGTTGTACTCTTGAGGAGGATTCTGTGCAGGTGAGAGGTCCTTTATGATATGCCGTCTATTCCTCACTATTACTTTTCCATTAAGCAGACGTATTCTATAAGACCTATTGCCTAAGTTAGTCAATATTGTGCCTGAAACCCAAATACTTTTTAGAGAATCATAGATCCTAACTTTTTGATTAGTACTCAATGGAATCAAATTTCTAGAACCTTTGTCATAGTACATTTTTTGTTTTTGCTGCCTAACTCTCAATTTCTGTTGCGTACTTACGTGAGATTTAGAATTAAACAATTTAACAGGCGTTGGAACAATACTTCTAAACTTTCTACTCTGAAGCAGTTCTGCTGGTGAGGGTATGATATTGCTAACTGGTGTATTTAAGCATTCTAACAACCCAAGTCGATAATCAGAATTATCTTCTAAAGATTTTTTTAAAATATTTTTAACAGTCTGCACAGTGCGCTCAATTTGGCCATTTGATTGATGGTAGTACGGGGATGATGTCTCATGAGTAAAGTTCCATTCATGTGCAAATTGTCTAAACTCTGAGGCTGTAAACTGAGGACCGCAGTCAGACATGACTGTATTCGGTATTCCTTGACGGCTGAATATGTCTTTTAGGCTATTAATTACACTGTAAGCCGTCATACTCTGTAATTTAACTAATTCAAAAAATTTACTATAATAATCGATTAATGATAAGTAATTCTCACCTTTAAATTGAAATAAATCTACTCCTACTTTGAACCATGACCTGTTTGGAACTTCATGACACATTAACTCCTCCTTCTGATTATTCTTTCTATGTGTTAAACATATACTGCAAGTTTGAATAATGTTTTCTATGTCATTATTTATACCAGGCCAGAATATCAATTCTCTCGCTCTAAGCTTGCACTTTTTTCTATGCCCATGTGACCTATATGAATTCTTTTTAGAATATCTTTCCTCATACTTTTAGGAATAACAATCCTATCCAATTTCCAAATCATGCCATACGATACCGTTAAATCCTGCCTAAAATTCCAATATGGTTTAATTATATCTGATAATTCTCGTTTATTGCAAGGCCAGCCTTTCAAGATGCATTTTTTTAATTCTATCATCTCTTCGTCTAACTCTAATTGCTTTTGAATATTTATGAACTGTGAATCCGTAAAATATTCACACTTATTTTTCGTACTGTCACTAATCAATAAACAAACTTCATCTGCCACACTAACAATGTTATCAGAGATCTGTTTCTCGCCGCCACTCACCGGTGACTCATGCTCATACGCACGCGATAGTGCGTCGGCTATATATAAGTATTTACCTGGCTTGTAGATTAAAGTAAACGAATAACGCTGCAATCTCAATAACATTCGCTGCAATCGAGCCGGAGCGTCAACAATTGGTTTTTTAATGATACTAATCAATGGTTTATGGTCCGTTTCTATTGTTACATCTGATCTTCCAAAAATATATACATAAAATCGCTCACAAGCAAATACACAGGAGTACAATTCTTTTTCAATCTGAGCATATCTTTGCTCAGTTTTAGTTAACGCTTTCGAAGCGTAACACACCGGATGGCCATTTTGTAATAGACACGCCCCTAGGCCTGTACTGCTCGAGTCTACTGATATTACAATAGGTACATTCATGTTATAATACTGTAAAACTGGGCGTTTAATTAAACATAAGTTAAGTTAATTAAAACACTTATAATGCCTCTCATTCCAATGCCACTCAATCTCTTTTTTAAGTAACTCCCGCAGTGGTAAAGTTTTATCCGATAAATTTGGAATAAACGAACCCACGTAGGTGATCAAGCCCAAGAAACGCTCAACATCTTTTTTATTTTTAGGTACTGGCATGTTTTGTATAGCAGATAAATGAGAATCATCAGGACTAAGACCATCTTTAGTTATACGATGTCCCAAGTATTTGATTTCCTGTAAACCAAACTTGCATTTGTTTCTATTTAATTTTAAATTAATTTTTCTACATCTTTCTAGTACATTATGTAATATTTGGTCGTGTTTAATCTTACTTGGAGCATAAATTAATAAATCATCAATATACATACACACACCCTCAATATCATCAAAATTTTCATATATTTTTTTATGAAAAACTTCAGATGCAGAACAAATACCAAAAGGGAGCCTTAAAAATTTGTATCTACCAAAAGGAGTGTTAAATGTACAATATTTGCTGCTTTCTCCTAATCTGATATTCCAAAATCCTGATGAAACATCTAAAGTACTAAAATATTTAGCTCCTGCTAATTTTGATACGATTTCATCGATAGTGGGTAGTTTAAAATGTTCTCGTTTTATAGCCTGATTCAATTCCTTCGGATCTAAACAAATCCTAAGATCGCCGTTTGATTTTTTAACCACGGTAATACTGCTCACCCAGTCGGACGGACCCTCAACTTTTTCAATAATACCTTCTATTTCCATTTCTTCTAATTTTTTCCTAACATCCTCTCTGATTGCAAATGGCAACTTTCTAGGCGCATGAATAACGGGTACCGCATCATCACGCAATTGAATATTATATTCACCCGGCAAACACCCTATACCCTCAAAAACATCCCCAAAATCGGTAATAAATCTCGGTAAACTATCTTCAGACCTCTGCACTGACAAAACCCTCTTTATTAAATCTAATTCAACGCATGCTTGTCGACCTAAGACAGGAGTACTGGCGACGTCAGCGATTTTAAATTCGAGTAAATATAGCTTATTTTTATGATAAACTCTAAGATGTATTTTACCCAAAACTTTTATCAAAGTACCTGAGTACCCACTCAATTTAGTATTGGTTTGCAACAGCTGATTACAAGATATACCTAGTATCGACAAATGACGTAGCGGTAAAACATTAACATCCGCCCCGGTGTCTAATTTAAAGTTAATTTCACAGTTGTTTATATGTAAATTTACTGTCCAATCATCTAACCCTTTATGTAATGAAAAAATTACCTGTGGATTCGGAGCTCCCACTTCGTAAACACGACACACTTTTGCAAAATGGTTAAGCTTTGAACATCGTAAACACGTTCTACCATAGGCTGGACACGCATTGTATTCATGTATCCTACCACATCTATCACAGACGGGAGTAGGCCGTAGTCTGTTTGAGGTACGCGATGCATGGCCGCTGCGTCCACGCGTTTCCCGCCGATTTGAACCTCGATGCTCCGATACAGAGCGACCGCGTATCGATCGCGAGACGTAACCGCTGCCACTGCCTACCCTCGACGACGAAGGCGTCATATTATTGTATCCGCGATGACCTCTAATCATCCATATATCATTACTTTCCTCGTGTCTATTGCTCTCCTCAATTTTATACACCACACTTTCTTTCTTGATATCTTCAGAATACATTCTTGAAACAATCGCCACTCGACATATCTCCACTGCTGTATACAATGTCAGCTTGTCTTCTCTCAACAATCGTTCTCTAATCGCCGAACTAATAACACCGCACACTAACCGGTCTTTTATCAAATCATCTTTTAGATCACAAAATTCGCAGGTCAACGCTAACTTTTTTAATTCAAATACATACTGATCTATTGTTTCACTTTCTTGCTGGTTTCTGATAAAAAATTTATGGCGTTCCACCGTTAAATTTTTCTTTGATCCAAAATGTTCATCCAACTTTTTAAGGACACCCTCCAAAGTAATTTCCTTAAACTGATCTATAATTTCGCGACATTGTTCCCCTACTATATGTAAAAATATGTTTAACTGTATCACAGCTGACTTCTTCTGAAGTTCGCATGCCTCGAAATATATTTGAAAGCCTTTCTTCCACTTTTTCCAGCTATCACTCAATTTTCCTGAAGCTAAGTCAATCGATCTTTCATCGAACAGAAATGGTTGCGGCGGCGACAAAACTGTTTCCATCTTCTTTGATTTTAGTTAACAAGTAATATTACGTTCAAATACTTTAGACCACTTCACAGTAACGTTAAAACTTTTTTATTTAAATACCGGCTGCGCCATGTCACAGTCAGTGGTTACATGAATCAAACAAGAGGTATAGACAGAGACTGCTTTATTCCGTTCTCGATATCGGTCGCCTCCAATCATCATTCTTGCCTACCCACATTATAAATATATATTATGACAGGACGGATTGGAAAATTTACGTTAATGAATTCCTTACTTCGGAAACGTATTATATAAAATCTAAAGAGAAGGAGTTATTACGGTAAAGTTATATTGGAGAATATAACAAATTGAGATTTGAAACGTGTAAAAGCAGAGGTTTCTGCTTCCCAAAATTCCCTCATGCCTTCTCGTATTCAGACAAAATTATATCCCCTTCAGGGCACGTATTGAGAGTCTTACTGTCATATTCCTCTGGACTTATAAGCATCTTCCAAATCTACGCCAAAATTATTACTAATTTCAAATCTGTGCTTCCAAGCAACGTAGTGCAATGCAATTGGCAGAATTTCCCAACGTAACGAAACCAATGAATTTAAAAAATACTCCATGTCATTCTACGGTACACTACATCGAGACTTCGGGACCAGCCGTACATACTCGTCCACGACCATTACCACCTGATAAATACAACAAAGTCAAAGCTGAATTTCAACGCATGCAAGAAATGGGGATATGTAGACCTTCCAAAAGCAATTGGGCGAGTCCTCTGCATGTAGTTATGAAGAAAAACGGTGAAATTCGACCTTGCGGTGATTATAGGCAGATCAACTCGATTACGAAACCCGATCGTTACCCAATACCGCGTATTCAAGACTGTACCTACTTGTTACACGGGAAGAGCATATTCTCCCGAATAGATATGCAGAGAGCATACCACAATATACCTATTTTTGAGAAGGATATCCCGAAGACTGCTATAGCTTGCCCTTTTGGTTTGTTCGAGTTTTTAAGATTAGGTTTCGGATTTAAGAACGCTGCAGCCACATTCCAACGTTTTCTTAACGACGAGGTACTGCGAGGCTTAGACTACATATTCATATATATTGATGACGTCCTTATTGCATCATCATCAGAAAGTAAACATAGAGAGCATGTACGTGAAGTATTGAAACGACTGAATGGATATGGCATTACAATAAACATGGCCAAGTGTGAGTTTGGAAAAACGGAGCTAAATTTTCTGGGATTTCGTGTATCGAAAGAAGGTCTTAAACCGTTAGATGAACAGGTCAAAAGCATATCCGAATTTCCGAGACCTAGAACAATAAGTGAGTTGCGTCGATTTCTCGGGATGATAAACTTCTACAGGCGTCATATACCGAAAGCAGCCAGTATTCAGGCAAAATTGAATATTTTCTTACACAACGCGAAGAAAAAAGATAAAAGTCTGATTCCATGGAGCGACGTAACAAATGAGGCATTTGAACAATGTAAACATAGCCTAAAAAGCGCAATCACATTATCATTTCCGTCAGCAGATGCACCGATAGCTCTCATGACTGACTGTTCTAATACCTGCGCAGGGGCGGTACTGCAACAAAAAGAAGGGGAGGATTGGAAGCCCCTAGGATTTTTCTCAACCAAACTAAGCGATACGCAGCAGCGGTATTCAACATATGACAGAGAACTATTGGCAATATATCTGGCTATCAAGCATTTCAGACCTATCGTTGAAGGACGATTATTTACGGTGTACACGGATCATAAACCGATAGTGTACTCGCTACAAAAAAATACCATGGGTAAAAATGATACACCAAGGAGAATACGACATCTAGATTTTATTATGCAGTTTTGCACTGATATTAGATATGTTTCCGGGGAAGAAAATATAGTTGCGGATTATTTTCGCGCATAGCAGCGATAGACGCATCACCTATAGATTACAAAAAGTTAGCCGAGATACAGAGTAAAGATACAGAGTTAAAGGATCTTTTGGAATCGAACACGTTACAATTTAGAAAGTTATTCATGCCTAATTGCGAGTTACCTATATATTGCGAGGTATCGACTAATAGGACGCGACCATATTTGCCTAAGGAATTTCGTGTATCAGCTTTCAACGCGGTGCATGACATCAGCCACCCTGGGACGCGTGCAACTAGAAGAATGATGCAAGATCGTTATATATGGAAAGGAATGAACAAAGACATTACACAGTGGGCTAAAGCGTGTATAAGTTGCCAAAAATCTAAAATACATAGACATACTGTGTCACCTCATGGGCATTTTGTACATAGTGATAGATTTGAACACCTTCACATGGATATTGTGGGTCCTTTAACTTATAGCAGCGGTTATAGGTATATTGTAACAATGATAGATAGGAACACCGGTTGGCCTGAAGCCATTCCTGTAAAGGATATAACCGCCCAAACTATAGCGGATATTATTTACACCGGATGGATTGCGAGATTTGGAACCCCTTTATACTTGACAACTGATCAAGGATCTAACTTTTTGTCTAATTTGTTTTTCCAATTAACTAGAAGAATGGGTATTAATAAGATTAGAACCACTGCTTATCACCCGCAATCTAATGGTCTTGTGGAAAGATGGCATCGCTCGCTTAAAACCGCACTTATGTGCCGAGGAAACACGGAACATTGGGTATCAGAATTACCATCTGTTCTTCTGGGATTAAGAGCTAGTATGAGAGACGACACGCAGATTAGTGCGGCGGAGATGGTGTTTGGAGAACCTTTAAGGTTGCCTGGGGATTTCTTCGAGCCTATAAAGCGGGAAACTTCTGACAACAATTTATTTTTGCAAGAATTACGTAGTAAGATATCAAATTTAGTAGCAGTGCCCAAAAAGGCGAACCATCAAGGAAAAATATTCGTCCATCCCGATCTTAAAGACTGCACTCATGTATTTGTTCGTGTTGATAAGGTCACAAAACCTTTAACACAACCCTACATGGGGCCGTTCAAAATTATCAGCAAAACGGAAAAAAAATATAAAATTATGCAACAGGATACGGAGAAAATAGTTAGTATAGATCGATTGAAGCCAGCCTTTGCACTTAACAACAGCGAGACATGCTCGAAGATACCGAATATGGCAAGTTATAATGTAAACAATGAGCCGAGAGTGTCGAGTTTCGGCCGAACTATCAAAACTGTCGTGCGCTTCGCCACATAAACACTTAATATATTAAATATCATCATTTATTGTCGAGAACAATGCGTGTGATTATATAGTGGGAGTGATTATATAGTGTTGTGACGTGTCTAAATAAGTGCTGATAATGACATTAATAAACAATTGCATGAACTTGGACAGTGTTGATACAATGTGTAATCGGAATATTAGACGTATTTTAAACTTATGTGTAACTAAATTAAAAAATAACACTTATATTTTTAAGTTATGTTTGTAACCAATTTTTTTTATTAGGGGGATGTACTGTGCCTACGGCACTTCAGTATTGTATTGACGGCTATATTAAACAGACGTGTCATTGTATATTGAGAGTTTTATTACAATACTCGACACCAAATAAAGACTATACATACAAAACAGTACAGTGGTGACCCCGATAACTAATACACCTACGCCTTCAGTATAAAGTTCGTGCATATATTTTTTTTCTGAAAAAATGACAACGGGTCAGCAACCATCGAGCGAAGGGGAGGTAGCGGTTGTTACAGTGTCTTCTAGAATTCCCGAGTTTTGGTGCGACCAACCACGCCTTTGGTATGTGCAGTGTGAAGCCATACTGGGACCACAGAAGCTCAGCGACGAGGCCAGATATAATTTAGTTGTCACGAAATTAGGTAAAGACGTAGTGCAGCAGGTCAGTGACATTCTTCTCAAGCCGCCCGATGTTAAGAAGTTTGACACGCTTAAAGAGCGCTTATTAAAAATCTATGAAGAGTCGGAAATCAGACAATTTCAAGAAGCCATCTCAACTCCTGCGTCGGATGAGGGACTTGGCTCGCGACAAAATACCCGATGACACTCTACGCATTATGTGGCAGGGACACCTGCCTTCTACGGTGCGAGGAGTGTTGGCGGTCAGTGAAGTGAATCATTTAGAACATTTATCGGCTATTGCGGATAAAGTCATGGAGACCACGCAACCATTGCAAGTGGCAGAAGTACAGGCCACGTCCAGCAGTTCTAGTGCCGATCATAGCTTTATTTTAGCGGAAATAGCTAAGCTGAGCCTAAAAATAAGAGAAATGGAACAGGACCGGAATCATAATCGTAATTTCAATCGATCTCATTCACGGTCACGCTCAGCATCGCGAGGACGTAATATGACACGGCGTTCACCGAGCAGCCCGGACTGGCTTTGCTCTTATCATTATAGATTTAGGCATAGAGCGAAGAAATGTATAGACCCACCCGTGCGCCTGGAAAAAAACAAAAAAATCCGGAAAACTAAATGTGGTGTACTCGCAGGCGGAGATATGCACCATTACTCCTATACACCGCCTATGTGTTACAGATAAAAATAGTGGTTTAAAATTTTTAGTAGATACAGGTGCAAATATATCGGTACTACCATTTATCAAAAATAAGTTCTATAGTGGAAAATGTGAAGACTATAAACTTTACGCAGCTAATGGTACAGAAATAAAAACTTATGGTGTAAAAACGTTGAACTTAGATTTAAAGCTACGTAGACCCTACAGTTGGACATTCGTTGTGGCAGAGGTCAAGCAACCTATACTCGGAGCTGACTTCTTGTCTCATTACACCTTATTAGTGGACGTTAAAAACAGAAAACTAATAGATTCACTGACTAGTCTACAGACTATTGCGTCTGTGGTTATGCAAGAAGAGCCTACAGTAAGGACAATCGACTACAAAAGTGATTATAGTGATATTTTGGCAGAAGTTTCCCAGTAAATAACAGTGTAGATCGTGTCCAATGGAGGCACCAATGTTGCGTAATTATTGTGGGATCGTCGTCTCTCGTGGACAATATATTCGATATGCAG